ATTGATGTAGATATTGAACAGAACCAGTTCCAGAACTGATCCTTGCAGAACCCCACTTGTTACACCCTTTCATTCTGACTATGAACTCTCTGGAAATGGTTATCCAACCAGTTATGCACTCACCTTATAGTAGACCCACCTAGGTTGCATTTCCCTAGTTTATTGATAAGAAGGTCATGTGAGACCATATCAAATGCCTTACTAAAGTCTAGATATACCACATCTACCACTTCTCTTTTATCCATAAGGCTTGTTATCCTATTAAAGAAACTATCAGATTGGTTTGACATGATTTGTTCTTTACAAATCAATGCTGACTGCTGCTTATCACCTTATCTTCTAGATGTTTGCAGATGGATTCCTTAATTATTTGTTCCATTACCTTTCCTGATACTGAAGTTAAGCTGATTGGCCTATAGTTTCCCCCTGGGTTATCCTTATTTCTCTTTTTATAGATGAGCTCTATATTTGCTCTTTTCCAGTGTTCTGGAATCTCTCCTGTTTTCCATGACTTTTCAAAGATGATAGATAATGGCTCAGATACCACCTCAATCTGTTCCTTGAGTATTCTAATGCATTTCATCAGACCCTGGTAAATGAAGACATCTAACTTGTCTAAGTAATTTTTAACTTCTGAATCTACCCCATTTTCACCAATATTCATGATGTGAGGCATCCAGTCACCACCAACCTTGGCGAAAACCGAAACAAAGAAGTCATTAAAAGCGTGCCATTTCCATGTTTTGGCTTATTGTTTTTCCCTCTTCAATGGGCCAACCTGTCCTTGGTCTTTCTCTTGTTTCTAATATATTTGTATAATGTTTTCTTGTTACGCTTTATGTCTCTAGATTGAGCTCATTTTGTGCTTTGCCTTTCAAATTTTGTTCCTATATTCTTCTGTTGTTTGCTTATATTCATCCTTTGTACTTTGACCTTGTTTCCACTTTTTATGAGACTCCTTTTTTATTTTTGGATCGTTTAAGATCTTCTAGTTAAGCCAAGATGGTCTCTTGCCATACTTCCTGTCTGTCATACACAGTGGAATAGTTTGCTCTTGGGCCCTTAGCATGTCCCTTTGACTTACTGTCTTCAGTTGTTTTTCCTCTTGTCTTGCTTCCCATGGGACACTACCTACCAGCTCCCTGAATTTACTAAAGTCTGCCTTCCTGAAATCCATTGTCTCTATTTTTTTACATGTAGTGTTAAGTGTCACAAACTGTAATAAATATCACATACCTGTCCCCAATAAACCATAGCAGAAACCTGCCTGCAGCTTCTGGACCAAATGGCAACTTTTAGATTCATAACATCTCATGCCAGGCTGTCCTCCTGATCACTAGCCCAGAATCATCCACACGCCAACAAGCACAACCTGTCTCAGCAGATGTCTATCCCTCAGAGTTCTCAACTCTCTCAGTTGGTGAAAGGATCTCCACACTGTTGGCATGTAGTCCCATTTTTTTGTTCACCATCGACAAAGGCCGTCACCACAGATGCCTCTCTAATAGGCTGGGGAGCTCATTTTCAGGAGCTCATGGAACAAGACAGATGGACTCCTCAGGAGTCTTCCCTTTCCATCAATCAGTTTGGTGTGCATGCATCCACGTTTTACCCAAGATCAAGGTTTGCTTGAGCAGAGTCATGATGGACAATAGAGTGACTATATGTTATCTGAACCTTGAGCAAGATACCAGTCCTTTTGCACAGAGGCAATAAAAACTTTGGAACTGGAGCATAACACCCAAAATTGACATAGCAGCAGCATATCCGCCAGTTTGCAGAACACCATGGTAAACACACTGACACTTTTGCCAGGACCATGAATGGGAACTGAGTGATCCTATCCACCAAAAGATTTTTCTCACCTGGGACTTCCCAGAGATAGACCTCTTTCTAGCACCATTCAACTATTCTGCTCAAGTGGAGGACACAGGCACAACTCTTTAGGAAATGCCTCCCTCAACTCACCCATCTGCCTGTAACTCTATTCAGTACCTGCCCCAATACCATTTTGCTTTAAGGTCACAAGAAAAAGAAAGCACAATGTAAGCAGGAAAAGTGGGGTTCCTTGCCCTTATCTGCCTGTCTCTGTGACTACTTCTTTGCTTGCTTCTCACAGAAGACCTACTGATCCAAGTATTGGGCACAACACTCATCCCAGTCTATATTTCAACACTAAGCTTTCCAATGGCCCTTAGGAGTAACAGATTTTTTTCAAAGTACAGAATGTGCTGTTTGAATAGTAGAAAATCCTCCACAAGAAAGACTTACCTGCAAAAGTGGAAGCAGTTGCATTCGTGGTGCGGCCCTGTGAGTCACACCTCACTCACCAAGTTCAAAAATCCTGGGTTTGTCTCTGAGCTCTATCCAAGTCCATCTGGCTACTATTACAGATTTTCTCTTTCCTATTTAGGGGACTTTTCTCTTTCCTGTTCACATGTCCTATTACTTCAATGTTCAACTTTAACCAACGTTTTTTCCTCACAATGGAGAGCCTACTCCACCTTGGTACATCAGTCTAGTTCTCAGCACATTGAGGAAACCACCCTTCAAGCTCATGAAGCTGTTGTCATAGGTAAAATAGGGATACTAACATCCTCTCATTCCACAGGGATGCATAGTGCCACTGAAAAGAATGTTTGATTGTATTTTCACCGTCTGGTATTGCTAGTCAGTTTCTCTTTAAACATACACTACATTTTTCTCCCTTAAACTTAAACTGCACTATAAATTATGGGTTCGTCTACACTGGCCCCTTTTCCGGAAGGGGCATGTAAATTTCATGAGTCGTAGTAGGGAAATGCGTGGGGGATTTAAATATCCCCCGCGGCATTTAAATAAAAATGTCCGCCGCTTTTTTCCGGCTTTTAAAAAAGCCGGAAAAGAGCGTCTACACTGGCCCCGATCCTCCGGAAAAAGCGCCCTTTTCCGGAGGCTCTTATTCCTACTTTGAAGTAGGAATAAGACCCTCCGGAAAAGGGCACTTTTTCCGGAGGATCGGGGCCAGTGTAGACGCTCTTTTCCGGCTTTTTTAAAAGCCGGAAAAAAGCGGCGGACATTTTTATTTAAATGCCGCGGGGGATATTTAAATCCCCCGCGGATTTCCCTACGACGACTGGTGAAATTTATATGCTCCTTCCGGAAAAGGGGCCAGTGTAGACGAGCCCTTAGTGTTTGTAAAGCACTAGATACTGTAGCAGTCAGTGCCATAGGAAAATCCATGAGGAAATAAATTCTTTCTTCAGAGCAAGATTTGAATAACATTGAGTAAATAAGGCCTGGGGCCACATGTTGAACAAAGATAAAACAAAATAGTACATCACTGCTCATTTATTGATCACCATCCATCCTGTGCACTGGATGATTCAGAAGTCCCATGGAAAAAATGTGATTGTATAATTAAAAACTGTATCATGCTGCATAGGGGGTCACTTAAGAGTGCATGGACAACATAAAAATGGGTGTTTCTTAACTTTTCAGTGTTTTACACAGCAATTTTTAAAACGTTCTTCTAGTATAGCCTTTTTGTATGTCTGTCTGAAGATGTTCTAGACTCATTGTTTAGTTTTAGTTCATATAATCTGCTCCCTAGGCTATCAGGTTGGCAACCCCTTATTCAAAGTCAAACACTTTTGATTACTCTCCTATAAATACTAAAAGTAAAAATGTATCATTGATAAGACTAGGACCATTAAGACCAATAAGTTTGGGTGTTGAGCGGTTGATGGAATACTGGACTTTGAAGAAGGGAGGGGAGATGTGTGAAAGCAAGGTTTTCTTTGCTTTACATTTTAATAATTTTTTCCATGGCTCAAGACCCCTGTAATTGCATTTTGTGACTCCACTGGGAGTCACATACCCATCACTTGAGACGCACTGGTCTATGTTGGCTAGGTTCATAATCTGTGACACTAGTTGCAGAAAGCGATATTGATTATTTGAAACGAGGGGGATGCATCCCCTGCTTGCTACTCTTGCCAATCCCCTTCTTTCTGGGGAAAGGTGTCTGGCCAGGGAGCAGCGGGCAGGGTGTTTGGCCAGGGGGAAGGGAGCAGGAGCAGGCTGGGGGTTGGTGTCTGGCCAGGAGGGAGGGGACCCGGCATGGCCTGGGGGCAAGGAGGCGAGCTCAGATGGCAGAGAGGATCCAGTGCAGCCCACGAGTGGGGTGTCGGGCTCATATGGTAGAGGGGACTTGACACAGCCTGGGAGTGGGGGGTTGGGCTCGAACAGAAGAAGCAACATGGGGCAGCTTGGGGGCGGGTTCATATGGCAAAGAGGACCCAGCCCTGCAGCTCCTCCCTGGCAGTGCAGCCCCTGGGACATGAAGCAGGCACCGGAGGGGACAGCACCAAGGCTGGCCACAACAAATGGCTGAGGAAGGACGCAGGTGGCAGTATCATGAGGATTCAGATAATGTGATGATGTCACTTTGTCGTCCCACAGGAGAAAAATGTTTATATATAAATATCACTGGTGGTGAATTACGGCTTTGTAATGTCAGTATTCTACCATGTGGTGGCAGCATACTAAATTAGGCTACGTCTACACTGCCCTCTCTTGTGCAAGAAAATATGCAAATGAGGCAGAGGTGACACACAGAACTCAGGGGCTACGTCTACACTGCCCTCTCTTGTGAAAGAAAATATGCAAATGAGGCAAAACGGTGAATTATCGCCGTGCCTCATTTGCATACTTAATGAGCTACCATTTTTGCACAAGGAGCTTTTGCGCAAAATGGCGGCTCATTAAGTATGCAAATGAGGTGCAGAGATAGTCACCTCTGCCTCATTTGCATATTTTCTTGCACAAGAGAGGGCAGTGTAGACGTAGCCCCTGAGTTCTGTGTCATTTTGTATCAAAGTTCATATTTTTTAACTAGACTTAAGTATTCTTTTATTACTCATAGTTGCAAAACTCTCTTTCCTACTGTACTCATTTCAGTCTTTTATCTGTAAAATGATAATTTTAAAATGCTAAAATTACAGGCTTTTTTCCCCTAGATTCTCCCAAGTCTAAATCAAAGAAAAGGAAAAAAGAAAAACGCAACAAAAAGGTAAATATTTACTGACAGAAATAAATCGGACTGTGTTAAGTAGAATTGAGGGCAACTCTTTAAGAGGAATTTGTGAACCTGGTATGAGTTATGTTACTGAGCTGCTGCATCTGTCTACGCAGTCTTTGCACCACTGGTATGAAACTTCTTGTTAAACACCTTGGGGACCTCCTGCAACTAGTGTTCTAGAAAACAGCATCTAATTTTACTATACTGACTTTGCTGCAGTATAAATGCCATAAGGGGTTTGTGAATGGCATCAGGTCTACATTTCAGCTCCGTTTTGCAGAACCATCCTAAAGGGAATGAACTCACTTTTATTTTTAGAAATTTATTAGGTTTGATTCCACCTAATGTTCATGAACACCAGAAACAAATGATAGCTTTTTGAAAATAATGTGGAACAGACTGAGTTTCCTAAATTCTGTTTAAGCATAATAAGCTTGTGATATGCATCAAGAAATATAAGTAGTTTTGAGATAATAATGTAATCTGCATTTGTTACTCTCTTTATACTTTTTGCTTCTATCCCGTTCTGCTCAGAGATTTCAGATATTTAGTGAGGCAAGGTGGACTAGACACCCCAGAAATGGGGTCAGGGGACTCACCACTGCTTTTGTTTTCTGGAATCATGGGAGTCACTAGGCCTTATTAAGCATCAACCTCTTTGCTGCCCCTACCCCAATTAACACATCTCCAAGAATTGGCCCAGTTTCCAGGAGCTATATAAAAGTGGCTTCCAGGACAGCAGCCAGTTTGTGAGTTCATATATACATTTGAGTTAGGTTTTTTTTTCTCTTTTGCTACTATGAGAATACATGTCTTGTCTTGTAGAAGAGGAAAAAAGAGAACAAACTGAAGAAAAGGAAAGAAAGGAAAAAAAAAAGAGAGAAATCAGGACCTGTCCAGCTTTCCAAGGTACATGAGCTAGTATTTGTTTCAGGATGCTTGGTTACACTCCCACTTCTCCCCTTGCCAATGGTTTATGATATAAAATGCCCACCAAGAAATGGAATACAGTTGGCCACACCATCCCTAGCTTCTCAGGACAGGGAATTTAGTGTCTGTTCCTTGCATGATAAAATTTGCACATGGGTGTATTTTTTGTTCTTTGAAATGTATCCTGAATCACAATGTATGATCTCGTTTTAGTACCTTAAAGACAAAAAGAAGACTGAAAAAAACTACAGTATGATAACAGGAAAAAAAATTAAGATGAAAATAAAGAAGAGTAAAAAGGATAAAGAGGTAATTTCCTGGAGGGAAAATAACCTTAAAAAACAAGTGGTCCTGTAGCACCTTTGAGACCAACAAAAAATATAGACGGTATCATGAGCTTTCGTAGGCACAACCCACTTCTTCACATTGCTGATAATGGTCTGTATGTCCCAAAGAGGAACGACAGAGTATTATTATATTTTCCCAGAACAGTTGCATTGTGTTGATAACTTAATTACTAAGCGTTTTAAGTTGAGTGCAGTTTTTAATGTAGTTATGGGGCATCATAGAGACTTTAGTCCCTTGGTCATGAAATAATTTTATGATATGTACATGGATTTATCTGATAATTAGGCATGAAAAGGGTAGGGATGTAAAATCCCATTAATCAGTTAACTGCTTACACGAGGGTGGGCATGGGGCCAGCCAGGCTGAAGTGCCCTCTGGCCATGACACAATAGGCTGCTCCAGTCCAGCTGTGCCTGCGGGCAGGGGACTATTCTGGCTGTGCTGAAGGGCCCACCACTTTTAGTATGGGGGGCTGCTCCACCTGGACTGGGCCAGGTTGGAGGACCCACCTCTCACAACACTACAGTCTTAGTGGGGCTGGAGCAGCCCATCTCCCACCCCGTCCACGTCAGGCAGGGGATTGCTCCAGCCTAGCTGTGCCACCGGTTAATTGGTAACTGGTAAACATCACCCAATAAGATGAAACCCATATAAGGGACCTCCCTGAGTAGGCAGCCTGAGGCTGCATATCTGGCCTGATTCTCCACTGCACCCAGTATAGCCATACATATTCGTGCAATATAGCAATATATGATACCCAGGCTCTGGGTTTGGTAGCAGTTGACATCCATTTTATACAGGTGTAAATTACTACACAAAATGCAAAACAATGGATTGTTGGGCCCATTGAGTACAGCACTGTTTAAATCTGTGACAAAGCTACTTCTTTTTGCTGACTATCTGTCTCCCTTGAATGGTCCTTTAATTTTCCATGTAATAAATGTACACTTCCAAGCTTAATACTTAACTAATAATATTGTTTACTGGACAAATTTGTGATTTGTAAGAACTGCTTTTCTTATCTACAGAGAGACCGAAACCGTGCAGAACTCCTTGATTTCCTAAACTCTGCCTTGTAATGGAAAAAGTGCTGAGCAAGGACTTGTAAATCTATCATGCCAGCTGGTCATCACGCCTAGCAAAACACAAAGGAAACTCAGGGAAAAGGGCACCATTTGTGACAAGTTCCAACTCTTGTGCTGTGAGACAATCAGTGTCCTTTATAATTGGCAAAATAAAGAGTTACTGCTAACTTTTTATTAATACCCGTATCTTCCTCTTGAGATCCTAAAGTAATAGCCAAGGTGCAATGTTGTATGAGAGCTTACATACATGTTGCTGCTGATGAGCTGAAGTGAAATGACATTATTGTATTTCAGCATATCAAATACATCCCAGAGCTGCATGCAGAGCACATTGTTAATTTCAGATGTCTTTAATGTCCCTAGTAGCTTAAATAAAGCAGAGTTCTAGTAGATCATCGGCTTGAAAAATTAGGGGTTTCTGTATATATCTTTCTTAGTAGTGATCTTACTTGTTCTAAAGACCATGATGACTTTTTGTGAATAGTAGATTTACCAAAATGAATCTTTTTTTAACAGTCATACCTTCAATGTGTTGCTTTCTCAAAAAGTTTGAGACTCAAGCCTTCTCACGTGTGTTTATGACATGTGTCACAAGCTTGGTAACAAATTTACAAATAAAATATTCAGGTCATATTTTTATTACCCTAGAACATTTTTATTCTGAAACAGAAGCAGAAAAGATTCTTCCCTTGGCACAGATCACCTATGTATTCACTACTAGTGCGTACACTTGCTATATATAGATTCAGACTTCTAATCACTCTTACTGGTCCCTTTGTTTCAGAGGGAGAGGCTGCAGTGTACTTTGCAACAATATTAAGGTCATCTGACTTAGGCATTTCACGTGTAGAATTATCATATGGTACATGCATCTTGTGCTGTCCTGAATTGGGGCCTAGAGAAGGACACTGGAGATTAGAAAATATAGGTTCTTCTTCCAGTGATGTCCCTGTGGGTGTTCCACTGTTGATGTTGGGCTTCTCCTGGTGCCACAGATGGGAGACTTTCAAGCAGTGATCAGGCAGGCTGCACATATGTGAGCAGAGCAACATTCCCACCTTTGAAGTAGCAGGTGGGAACCTGCT